CATAAATGTAATCTATTTTGAGGAAGATAAGTCTAGACTAGACTAGAATAGAAGATCCGTGGTAGGAGGAACTGTTTCTATCTTATTAACCAAAATAGCCTTAGTGTCTAGTGTTTGCCTCGCAAATATTAGGTACTCAAGAAATATTTGTTGCATGAATTAATGCAATACAGTGTGATTGCCATATACTTACCTATAATGAGATGGCATAGGGTCACTAATTCATCGACATCTCATTATGCAAGTAAATTGAAAATCCTTTTATTACTACTTATTATTACTGTTTACTGTTTAGGAAACATTTCAGCAATAACTTTGAATTAAATAGAAAAATGGATGAATTATGAGTGAATGTAATGGATAGCTGTAACCTTTCAAAGTACGAGGTCTCTGGAGGAAGAAAAAGAAAACTAAGAGACCCTTGTCAAAGATTAAAAATAGATATTCTTTATAGTTAGCTGTAAATCATAGATGATAATCAGCATATGAAATATTCAGTTCGGTGGCCACTATTTGGTATATTGTACTGGTGGCTGCATGATCATAGTAATTTAAATTTTCATGTCACTTTTAACTTTCAGAGCAGTTTCCACTGTATCTCACAGAACCACAAGCAGTCTTATGAGAAGAGAAGGGGAAGTGGCATTCTCATTGCAATGAGAATCAATGGAGGCACAGACGGTTAAGTAAACTGCCCCAGCCTTTTGCTAGTTGGTGACAGACAGATATAAATGCCTTTTTCAAAATCTGATTCTTCACACCTACATATTTCAACCTTTACAGATTCACAGTAGCAGAAATAGATGTCAGAAAAGAAGAGGCATAAAGCTGAGAAGAAGACACTGAGTTTAGCACATGACCTCTTGGTTATAGTTTAGACGTCAAGTGGTTGGATGCTTAGGTAAAATATTATGAAATCCCGGATCAAGCCCACTGTTAAGTAGTGTATGACCTTATGCAAATAAGGTCTTCCTGTTCTCAGATTAGGACTTTGCAGTTTGCTTATCTTCAATTCAGTTACTCTAGGGTTTTGAGGTTGTTGAAGAAAAATAGTATTTATTTTAGAAATGACTCATTGTTTAAATTAAATATAGTCAGCTCACATTTACAACAGTTAAAATAGCTTTTTATAATAACCGTCCATCATCCTGTCTTTGTTGAAAGGGTCCTATATTGTAATCTAAATAAATTTGAATGAAAAGAATATAGTCCCCAATATTATAAAAACCTTTGAAAACCAACTAGAAACTAAAGACTAAGAAAGCACCGTTGAAGTAGAAAGTGATGTGGCTAAGATAGAGAACACCAGAAAAGGAAAAGCTGATCATGTTGGGGACTGCCAAAAGTGGCTGGCAGTGCTGTGTTGACATAATCTTGTGAAGTAAATTGTGTTTAATAAGAATGCGTGGCTCTTTTCTTCCTTTGACATATGACTCTAGAGCTGGATTCCAGGATGGAACAAAATTTGAGGAGTAGCAGATGATTAAAATACAAAATGTTTTATACTCTTCAGCTCCCTGTGAAATTAAAGACCTTACACCTGTTTGACTAACTTTGACTATGTAATTATTCTGAAAAGATGTAGAATCATCATCAAACAGTGGCAGAATTCTTATTGTCCCAGACTCCAGAATTGTATTATTAAGAGTTGTAGCTAACATTTGTTATGGGGCTTATGCCAGCTACACTGCTAAATGCTTTATGTGGAATATTTATTCCATATTTATATGGAATATTTATTACAACACTTTGAAATAGATATTACTATTTTCCTTTTACAGTCAAGAACATTGAGATTTATGGACGTTAGTAGTAACTTGCTAAAATATTCTGTGAATATGTGTTTTAGTTATGATATAGTAAATATTCCATAAGAGATGTGAGGGTGGAGAATGGTTATTGCTTTATAATGCACATGGATATCCTTTATCAGTTCAAGATAGGAAGTGAAGAATGATGTGGAAATATAACAATGAATTCATTTGCTTACCCTTTTGGCATTGATTACAATAATTGCTTACCCTTTTGGCATTGATTACAATAATTGCTCGAATTGAATTTTCTTGGGACACCAGCTTTGGAATCAGACCTAAATTTGAATATCAGCTTTGGTACTTGTTAACTGGGTACCTTTATAATCAGGTTATTTAACTGTATGGGGCCTCAGTTTCCTCATCTGGTAAATGGGCATGATAAGTTCCCCCTTCATAGTTCTGTTATAAATACATGAATCCTAATTTCTCATGGCTTCCATTTTGCAAATTCACCTACTTTATAAAACTTATTTGTAATCCCCAAATCAGTACATGATACTTTCCCAGTCATTTGCAGATATGTGCAAAGCATTAACATTTGAGCCCCAGCTGAGGTGGAGCAGGGTGACATTCTGCCTTCTTATTTCATTTCTCATAGTGTAAATAGGCGTCATTTTCATCATCTATCGAATTCCATGTTTTTGCATTTTGTGCTTTTTATTGGTGATTTCACTGCTTGTGTTTACTAAAATAGTGCTAAAGTGCTGGCTAGTCTTCCTAAGTACAGGAAGGCTATGATGTGCCTTTTGGAGAAAATACGTGTTAAATAAGGTTAGTTCGAGTATGATTTGTAGTGCTTTTGGCCAAAAGTTCAATGTTAATCAGTCAACAATATGTATTAAATAAAATATTTTTTAAAACTAAGACACACATAAAACAAGGTTATGTATTGTATTGATCTGTTGATGATGTCGTGACCAGAGGTTCTCAGGAGCCTGAGCCTGTGTTTCCTCTAGAAGCAATGATTCCGTATTCGCTAATTTAGTGTTCACAACTTCATGTAATTGCTGTAATTTAAATGAATTGACTCAATAAATACTCAATACATTCATTTTCAACGTTCTCAGTTTTGCTTCTGGTCTTAGGAAACATCTCTGAAGGAGTTCAGGGATATTAATGATTTTAACAGGGCAATGAATGCTCACTGAAATAATACAAACACAATTTTCTCTTTCTGGCTTCCAGAGCCTCTTGTAATGACTTGTCATAAAATATTATTTCTTATTTAGTTAAAAATTAAATTTTTGGACACTAGACTAAACTGCCTTCCAAGATGATTTTTTTTTTTTTGTCAGAAATTAAGTATTTTCAACTTAGCAGGTGGTGCCGTTTCTGTCACAACTATTCAACTTTGCCATTGTGGTGGGAAAGCGACAATAGATGGTATGTAAATAAATGGTTGTGACTGTGTTTCAATAAAAACTTTATTTATAGAAATGGGCAACTGGCTGGATTTGGCCTGTAAACTGCATGTAGTTTGCTGATCCTTGATTTTGTGTAATGTTGACTGTCGGGTTGTATTATTTATTCATTTACTAGAATGAATTTATTATTTATTTGTTTACAAATCATAGAAAGTAAAATAAAAAAAATTCATAACTGTGTTTCTCTGTTGGTAGTACTGATAGTGATAATAATTGCGTGTGGTGAGCATTTATTAAATGCTAGGCACTATGCTACCCATTTTATACTATATTTTATTTTCCCAGTATAGCCCTGTGAGGCAGTACAATGATTATTATCTCATTTTTCAAAGATAGAAACTAAGGCCCAGAGATGGGAAATAACTCATTTAAGGTCACAGAATTAGGAAGTGGTACATGCTGGTCCCAGGATAATTTTGACCTTGTAGCCAACATGCAAAATTTTTTGCCCGACTTTTCCTTATTTTCTGATATTTTACTGGTTTTGAGATGTTGTATAGCAGCTTAAGCTTTTCTGAAAAAAAATTTATTCAGTTGATGAATAAGTAGCTGAGTGTGGGTTTTAGTTCTAATTTTTTAGTTTTTCAAAATTAGCTTATTTTTATTTCTTTCTAAATTTCCAAATGTATTCTAAAAGAGGAATTTACCTAAATGTGAGGCTTTGCTACTTCGCTCTCTGCTGGGAGATTTGTTTATTTTGTTCTTGTTTCTATAATATCCTGATTAAAGGATTAGAAAGCCTTTTGCTACATTTGAGTCAGTAATACCACCCTACGCCACACACTCGGGGGACATAGATTTGTATTTGTTGAATGAATAATAACTTAGTAGCAACACAACCTTCTTTTCTGTAACTATGTTGACTATTCTTCACATTGCCCATGTCTGCTGGGAACAGTTCTCAGAATTAGCAGAGGATTTACGTCAGTAATAAGATGTAGGCTGTGGAAATGACTAGGTTGGAGTTGTGAATATCAAAAAAGTGGGCTTATGGTTTCAGAGTAGAGATACTTGTTTAGCTATTGCAGGTGAAGCTCCACCCTCAATATCTCCTATATGTTTAGTTCTCACTTGCTTGATCAATCTTTTATCTGTACTTAGTATTTGACAGCTACTATTAGGAATCCAAACATAATCAACCTTGTTCCTGGAAACTCAAAGCCTCACATCAACTGATAAGTGGTCTCTCTCTATCTCTACCTCTGTATCTCTCTATCTATACATCTATATCTAATCTAATCTAATCTAATCTAATCTAATCTAATCTAATCTAATCTAATCTATCTACCTACCATCTACCTATTCTTCTATCAATAGAAAGAGTGCTTTAAATGAGGTATTATGAGAAGAGTATTGTAGGAACACCGAGGGAGGCAAAACTCACTGCCTGGTGGGGGCAGGGAGGTCTTTTATGAAGAGGGTCATTTTTGAGTTAGGAATGGGAGTTTTCCAAATAGAGTAGGTAGACTGGTCAGCATCTCCAGAGAAAGAAGACCACAGCAGCAAGAAAGAAGATGAAATATTTTGGGAATGATATGAATTTTGCTATGGTTGGGAAAGGGTGGGGCAGATGGTGAAGCTGATAAAACAAATTGGAGCCAGATTGTGAAATGCAAGTAGTGATAAAGAAGACTTTGCAAATCTTTAATTAGGGTGCTGCATGATCAGAGCTTTATAAAAATAATTCTGGTGACAGTGTGAAGCAGAGGAAATTGATGAGGAAGTCCAGCGACTAATGGGTTGTACATTTTCTGCCTTCCAGCTTTCTCCTGTGCTTCTGGAGAGTACCTAGAAATGAAGAACCAGGTATGCAGTAAGTGTGGCGAAGGCACCTACTCCTTGGGTAGTGGCATCAAATTTGATGAATGGGATGAATTACCAACAGGATTTTCCAATGTTGCGACATTCATGGACACTGTGGTTGGCCCTTCTGACAGCAGGCCAGTTGGCTGTAACAAGTAAGAACCCAAAGGAATCTTTGGATCTTGACTGAATAGTTGAGAAGGGCGTAGTTGCTCTTTTCCAGAAAGAAGTTGAGGATAATCTTGGTAGTGATTGGGATTATAGATAGGATAATTGGAAAGATCTTATTTTTTTGGAGTCTTTACAAATAATGTAGCTGAATTTTCATGAAGTTAAAATAATTGTTCTCCAGACATAATAGATGCCATATGCAAAATTGTGATAAAGCTATTATAAAAACAAATTAATTTTCTAATATTTTTATGACTTCATTCAAGCCAGTGGTATTCCTACAAACCATTCTCTAATATTTAATGAACAATTTTAGATTTTTGTTCCTTTGAAAGGAATAATGTGTAACCTTTATTTAGACACTCAATTATCTCTTGTAAGAGAGAATGGGTTAAGTACCTGAGGTGGAAATCTTGTTTGCTAATTTCTACCTCTTATAGGAGGTTATATTAGCTTTGCCTATGTCGCTGCTGGAGGAACTACTTTTGAATCTGAGTTACATAACTTGTGAACAAAAGGAAGAGGATTCTGAATGCTAACATAAAATACCTCTTGGTTTTGTTTCTGCAGCTCTTCTTGGATTCCTCGTGGAAATTACGTAGAGTCAAATCGTGATGACTGCACTGTGTCTTTGATCTATGCTGTGCACCTCAAGAAGTCAGGTTACGTCTCTTTTGAGTACCAATACGTCGACAACAACATCTTCTTTGAATTCTTTGTAAGGCCTTTTATTTTCAGAAATTTACTCTTTAAGGGACATTCATGTAAAATTTTTCTTAATCACTTGTTTCCATTACACTTTATGCCTCCTTGGTTTTTTTTTTGTTTGCATTAACTGAATCTTTTGATAATAAAATAAAACTTTACTTTTTTCTATAATATTTTATTTTCTGGTTAATACTATTTCTTTACCACTGAGCTCTCGCCTTGTACAGTAACATTGGGCTTTTTTAACTTTTGGTTATGATCATTAGATATCCATTTAGTGTAGACCTTTTGCGTGACAAATATTTTCCCCAAGATTCATTTTAATTGTGATTTTTTTATAGCTGCAGATGCTATTTTGTTTAAAATATGTCTTCAGCTATTTTAGTTTTTGTTTAAAAAGTTTTTTTTCTTTGCAATTTCAAATATTTGAATTATTTAAGTGTATTCGTGGGAATATTTCAGAAGCAGGAGTCGCTATATGTTTCTGGTCTGTCAGTTTTGTGCAATCTAAAGGAATTAGTGAATGGCGTATAGTTGATGTTCTCTGATAAGAGATTAAATAGCATTATAGAATACAGGATAAAATAATAGTCTAACAGAATAGACTATTACCACTAAAATTATTTAACTATTTTATATAAACTGTAGCTAATCTAGCAAACATTTGTTGTGGCAATGACTCAAATGCTTGATTAAGAAAATGTTTTCAGATTGACTTCTTATTCCAAAAAAAGTGTGTGTTGTGCAGGTAGCTTAGAAAACATTTTGTAAGCTATTTCTGTGGTCCAGATCTCAGGAGCAAATGTATTAACAATTCTAAAACAAATTTATATTGCTCTTGATAGTGGAAATTTCTAAGTCGAAAGTTTGGTAGGAAGAGAGATTTTCCATGAAAGTATGAGCCTTAGATTTGAAGTCAAGAGATTCTGGCTTTAGTCCCATCTCTACAATTGCTAGCTGTGTGTGTTATTGGGTAATTAAGTTAACTTTGCAGCCCTCAGCATTCTCTTTTGTAAAGTGGATTGTGTGACAAGACCTTCTACGGAGGCTCCTAGCTCTAATTATCCTTTGGTGAGTTTGAAATGTTAAGCAACATTCAAACAAATTTGTTTTTTAAGCTACTTCTTGTTTGCAAAACACTTCTGAGAGTGAATGATTACCTATATTATGGGACATTTTGCAATATTACTGAAACTAAAATAAAGTTATAAAGCAAGGCAATTATATACTTGTTCAAACAAGCATTTAGTTTTATGTTGTCCAGCAAGTACTTTGAGAGTTGTCAGTAAAGGAACTCCGGAGGCAGGAAGTTTCATTACTTCTTTTCAGTGATGCCTTTCTTCTTCCAGTTGTAGACTGAAAAGGGATGGCACATTCATGTTCCTTCTTTTATTAATGTTTTAGCTTTGTAGGTTGTGATTTATTGACTCAGAGGTTCAGCATGCTAATGGTTAATGGAAAGGAAATGTCTATAGACTGAAAGATGTAGTTACACCTGTGAACTGGTTGTAATTTAAAGCAATATAGTATTTAATTTTAGAACTATGTGGAGCTTTCATTCAGGCCACTCTGCCTCCATTTTTAATGATGAAACTGAAACCTAGAGTAACTGGACCAAGGTTATACCATTACTGGTTACTTTTAGAATGAATAACAGAACTCACGTCTCCACAGAATGTTACAGTAACACATGGTGTCTGATTTTGGCTGAAAAATACTTTCAGCCTAGTCAAATAATGACCACCAAAGGTATATTCAGGATCCATGTCTGTTTTAAAATGGTTTAACACATTAAAATGGCCATTATGCTTATAATATAAACAGGATACTTAAATTTAATTAAAACCAATATTCTCAGTAACAGAAATTCTCTACTACTGACAAATTTTCTCAGATATTTGGATGGTAAAAGGATCTATTTTATAGTTAGTAAGTCTTTAGGAAATCTCTCTGATGGAGAACATTTTAATGTTGTTTACAAACCAGTCAGGAGGATGAATGAAATGGCAAAATGATTTAGAGAAGAAAGAAAGAGCCATTTTGGTGGAAGTAGTATAGGTGATGAGATCTTACTTTAACCCTACTCTGTTGCTGACGATTGTGCAATACTGTAAAGATGGCCTAATTTTTGGTGTTTCTGTCATCTTTGTAAACCTGAAAAAGTGCTAGTCCAACCCCTAGGCATTTTGAAAGAATTTTCTGGAAAGCATGAAGTGTTTGATGATGAAGATATTAGCTGTAGTCATTTGAATTGGTGTTGCAAATGATTAACATTTACCTCCAAATAAAAATTTGAGACTTTGACTTTAACCATAGCCATTTACCTACACATTTGGGTTAAATCCTGGGGAACTGAAAACAGAACAGACTTCATTTATTTATTAACTTAAGATTTAACTGCCCGGAATATTATAAAATTAAACTTTCTTTTTATACCATTGGGCCTGCATGGTGAATGCAAGCTTTTAAAACAATTTGGCAAGTTTGATAGATTTTTGTACTGACTTTTTCTCTTTGTGGAACTTTCAGCATTAACTGTTCTCTCCTCTTCTCTCTTCTCCTAGCTCCTCCCTACTTCTCAGCGAGCTAGACTTTTTGTTAAAATAATAGCAATGCTTTACCTAGAAACACTGACTCATATGCAGTTATCACTTAGGCTCCAAAGATCTTGATGTGTTTACTTGTTGAGAATTACTCATGGCCATTGTTCAGTATGTATTGAAAGAAATTCTTGCAGCCTGTCCTTGCTGAGTAAGAAATTTAATTAAAGCCATTATTCAAGAAGATATACGGGGACTGTTGTGTTTAATCCACAGATTCAAAATGATCAGTGCCAGGAGATGGACACCACCGCTGACAAGTGGGTCAAACTCACAGACAATGGAGAATGGGGCTCTCATTCTGTAAGCTTCTCTTTGTTCTCCTCTCCTACCAACCCCCTTCTTCTCTTGCCTTTTCCCGGCCTTTTTTTTAAAAAATTTATTTTAAGAAAAAAAAAGAAGACAAAAATTATTTATTAATTTAGACAGTTTCCACTTAGAGAAGATATTGCTCCTAAGTTTCAAGGATGTGGGCTCTTTCTAGTTTTTTTTCCCTACTTTTCTCTTTCTCTATAAGCCTTTCTTTTCTCTTTCCCATCGTACTCTAACTTTCCTCCTTTTCAAGGGGGACATTAACAAGAAATAAGGCTATTGAAGATAATATTCAAAACCTCTGAGTGTGTAAGTTTACAGATGTGCCTGTCACATGGAAGAGAATCAGTGGCTCTTCATGTTGAAAGGATCCTTGGGTTTTTCATGTAGCTTTCTCTGCAATCTCCCCAAAAAGTAATTTTCAAGCTTGTCTTTTTGGAGACTGTGCCAACTATCTTGTTGGACAGCTCTGATTATCACAAAATTCATCCATGTTTGGAGCCTAAACCTACTTTCTATCTATTTGCCACCTATTGGTAAAAGTTCTATGCCCTCTGAAAAATACCTTCGCACTGAATAAAATAACTGCCTAATTTTCCACATGATAACTATAAATGCTTGAAGGCAATTATCAGGTAACACAGTCAATGTAGCTCTTATTATTTGAGGTGCTGTCCTTTTGGAATGAGACATGTATTTAAAATCTAAATCTGGCTTACTATAGTAGTTGTGTTTCTTTAGGCAATTGGCTTAATCTCTTTGAATCTGATTTTTTCAAGTAAGAAATAGGACCAATCTTGAGGGTTAAATGAGATAATATATGGGAAGGGCCTGTGCAGTGCCAACAATATGGATTGAACTCTACTTCGTCCTTGTCTTTGTGTTGTAGCAGGTACCGCATCTTTGAGTGATTAATACAATGTACCCTTTCAGAGTATTTTTTGATCTGCGATACTACGTATGACCCATTCACCTAAGCATTCAGTCAGTTGGGCTTTGAAGGTACAAATAACCCTTGGCAACAAACATGCTTTCTTCACTTCTAAAGACTTCATACAAGCAGAAAGTACTTAACACATAACTTCTCTGAATCTCTGGCAGGGGCAGGTGGTTGGATATGTTTATACCACTTGAATTTGGCCAGCCAGAGACTACAGAGAAGAATAAGGGCGGCAAATGAGAAAGCAAGCAACCCTTAAAATTAGATTTTTTTTTTTTTTTTTGCCTGAATCAGCATGAAATTTCTAGATAGGTAGTTTGATTTATAATTAGAAAAATATCCTGGTGGCAAAGGAAGCAAATGTTAGACATGGTATCATTTACGTTCTGGAGTCATAGAGTTAAAGCAGTTTATTTCATAAGAACAATCCTATTTTCTCTTGTCACTGTTGCAGTATTGTTTATCAAATGAATTTAAAGAGAAGTAAACTCATTCTGCTGCCTTTTTGTTTTCAGAGCTCAAAGTCTACTTACGAATAGTGGCAACCAATAAACATGTGTTTGGGCTGAGTGCCTTCATTCTCTAAAATGAGTCCCTTTTTACTTGTATAAACCAGGACTTTATACATGTAGTTTGAAGATCATTTTTTCTTTTTGTTTAGACTTGAAGGATTTTCTTTTCCTTCTTTATTACTATATTTTTTGGATTGGCAAACTTTTTTTTTTTTTTAAGGAAACGTGAACTTAAGCATAGCTTAGGTCTGAATTTGTGGGTTCTAAATTAATGGTGTTTCATTATAATGCAAAGAAAAATGTATGAGGGATTAGCTTTCAGATGTGGTTGAATGTAGCGCGGCTTATCTGACTTTAATATTTTTCTTCTGTTTTTCTTTATAGGTAATGCTAAAATCTGGTACAAACATATTATACTGGAGAACTACAGGCATCCTTATGGGTTCTAAGGCAGTCAAGCCAGTGTTGGTAAAAAATATCACAATTGAAGGTATTTCACAGCAATCTGTTTTAGTAGTCACCAGTCACATTTTGTATTGAGTTAAAATAGTGATTGAATTGTTGGTTTGGCTAGCTCAAGTGTTTATTGGACAGAAATTAATATATTAGGTATCATACATGTCTAGAGACCCTGGTTTTATTCCTATTTTCTTTTCTTTTTTTTTTTTTAACCCTTAAAATGAATTATTTAATCTGTGTGAAAAAATAAACATGATAATTTTAGGTATCTTTAAATAAAAGAAAAAAATATTTGTTAATAAGAGCTTATTATTCATTTGAGAAATATCTAGTGTCATTTAGCTTATTCAGGTCACTGCTGTATCCTTAAAAATAACAATAAAATAAACATCTTGGCCTGACCGTCTTCTAAATCTTTTGTGCTCCTTCTGAACCAGCTGAGCCTTTGTGGCCCAGGAGATCAGCCAATAAACCCTTGTATGGTTCATTCTCAGTTAGGGCTACTTATAATTAAAGCAGTGATTCACCGTTATTAAAGTTTGACGTGTGTTTTTTTTTGAATTCTTGTTCCCTGATTCTAACTCATTAGTCATAGGGACATCTGGTGGCAAAGGCTGGAATTACAAACTAGAAGAAAAGTTGAGTCCTTCCTAGGGTCTGTTAAGTCTTGCCTGTGATTTAGTGAGCAGATGATAAAAAGGGAGCAGGTAGTCGAAAGATCAGAGAACGTTAACTTATAGAATTGGAGGAGACCTTAGAGTTTCTCCCACTTCTGATTTAGTGGAGTTGTCTTTCGACAACTGAGTTTATACATTTGCTATACTACTATCAAATCTCAGTCTCCTGTTTAAAGTGTTTGCTCTACTTACTGTGTTTAATTTAGTATCTATCCCTGTTTCCTGTACACAGTAAACATTTTCTTGGTGTTGAATTAATGAGAAAAGATTTGGGCTGAGCTTAATAATTCTCATTTCTGATAGAGGCTGCAAGAAGGTGCTGATTTGCTTGTTGCTGTTGGATCCTCCCTCCTATGCTCTGTTTGTCATTACCACACAGGAGTGGCATACACATCAGAATGCTTTCCATGCAAGCCAGGCACCTTCAGCAACAAACCAGGTTCGTTCAACTGCCAAGTGTGTCCCAGAAACACCTATTCTGAGAAAGGAGCCAAAGAATGCGTAAAGTGTGCAGAGGACTCCCAATTTTCAGGTACGTCTAGTCTTTGACAGTTTATACTCTTTGTTCTTTTTAAGTTTGTCGAATGTATAGTCATAAGCCAGAAGTCACATATAAGTGTGATGGGAACAGTGGGGCTGACACCATAGTGCTGAAGTGAATCAATTTTGAATGGATGAAAATGATTTCTTTTATTCCTTTCGGCATAACTTTTCCTTTCGTTTATAATTTTTCTATTCCATACTCCACAGGTAACTCTTTGGATGTGTTTATGCTAAACTAAAATACAATTCATATTCTACTTTTAGGCGATTTATGGGCATAAATATATATTTAGAAACTTTTATTTGCGATTTTAATGATAATAGAATAAATCTAATGTCTTCTTGGAAAACTATGATATGTTCCATGTGTATCATGGGAACATTTATTTGCTCTAGAGAAGATAAAAATGTAAGCCCTTATTTTCTTTATGCCTACCTAGTTCTACCTAAATTCCTCTGGTATGGTTATTTTTACTTTTTAGTTGTTTTCTTTTGTTGTTTTGATTGTTTTCCTTTCCTTTGAGTCAAAAAGGAATCAACTCATTTCTGAGTGCATTTTTATGTTGCAGAGGAAGGATCCAGTGAGTGTATGGAACGCCCTCCCTGTACTACAAAAGACTATTTTCAGATCCACACTCCATGTGATGAAGAAGGAAAGGTACTGGCAGAGTTCAGTGAACTCCATTTCATATTTATTTAGTACTCTTCTCAATTTGAGCAGACAATAATGTGTTCATGAGAGAGTTAAATGAGCTGATTTATAACACATGCATGTAAGTAGTACAGAGGAAATTTAAGAATGTATATTCTGAAGGCTGCCTTTCTGGCTTCGATTTTCTAGTCTACTACTTAGTGCTATGGGTAAGTTATTTGCTGTCTCTAGGTGTCAGTTTTTTTCATCTGTAAAATGGGGATAATATCAGTCTCTATTTCATAAGGCTTCTATGAGAATATTCAATGTAAGGTTCCCAGCACAGTGCCTGGCACATAATGAGTGCTTAATAAATTACTCCTATTTTTAAGTTATGTGTTTCGAGAAGTAACAATATCAGGAGCACCATAGCCTTAAAGTGTGTCCTGTCACTCACAGGATAGAAATATAGCAAGTTTTCACTTAACATCTTTGATAAGTCTGAAACTTTAAGGGAAACGATATATAAGAAAACCAATTTACCATAGGCTAATTGATATCTAAAAGTTAAATACCTATGCCATTTCATCAACGTTATACTGAAACAAGAAAGGATGTCAAATGAAGCCAAATTATTCAAGGACCTGTTCTATCCTGTAACTTCTCTTTAATTATTTGGATACTCAGTAAGCTTTTACAGAAAGAGCCATGCAGCCACTGGCTAATTCAGTTATGACAGATTACTGTGTAATTGCATTTAGAAGATGCAAAGTAATTACCATATAAATAGTACTTAACCAGAGGAAAAATGCACACATGAACTCTGCAGTTAACCTGCCATTCTCTTAATTAAAGTGTTAGCCTACACCAGCCTATGTCAGTCAGAGAAGCTGAGATTAAAGTGGCTACAATGCAGCATTTCTGTGTATTTACATTTTTGAAATTGTGACATTGAATTTCTTGGCCTAGTTTGGAAAATACACATAGATGTCAGTATTGCTTTATTTTCTTAATTTTGTATCCTTAGGTTCTAATCTAATATATATATAAACACATATATTTATGCATATATATAAATATACATACATATTTACATATTTATAAATACACATATTTATAAATGTATATGTATGTATTTATATATATACATACATATGTATATAGACACAAATATATATATTGTTATTACTCTTACCCTTAGTCCTTAAGATTTTTTTAAAGAATTTGTTTTTGAATGCTTAAGACCAGGTTTGTTCTAGTATTTCCAGTACAACAAGTACTTATTAACAGAATAATTCAAGGGAAGGCCAATTTAAATTAGTAGAAAGTCTTAATGATTAGAAATACATCTATTACTTTTAATAAGAACAGTAATTCAAACTAACAGCTCTTAAATGACAAGGAGTTATGAAGTAAGAGCTTGATGGCCCTACAATAATGGCCAAGTAAGGGTTATTTCTATTTAGAAAATATATGTAGAGAGCCACTTAGTTGGGTTGCAAGTAATTTGGAATAATGTTTCTTTAGCTAAGCTTTTCTTAGCTAAACTTGCCTTATTAATAAGAAAAGCTAATTAAATTTAGTTTATTCTATATAATAATCACCAATTCAGCATTATTAAAACTTAAATGAATGAGATCTAACATATAAATGTATCTTGTTTTTGCTATAATAAAAATATTCAAAAGTCATAGTTTTATTATGTCATTGAATGATGTGACAAAAATCTAATTGACCTTGGCCTTAAGGAAGTAAGGCCATGTATCAAATATAAAATGCACAGAATACATACACACACACATATATGCCCATGTGTACAAGCATAGACATGTTGTATATGCACATACACACGTTATGTTTTCCTATTTATCTGCATGAACTCTTAACATGTCCTCAGTATAAAACAAAACAATGGACTAGCACTCCATAAACTGGGTGATTCTTTAAAAAGTGATTTGAGACTTATTTCAAGATAAATGTTTCTAGCTTCAGTAGTAAATAAGAACTAGTGGGAACTTAAATAAGAGATACAGTGAAAAGTATAGATTTGAATTAGAATGTTTTCTGTTTTTATTGTTGTTATTATTGCAACATTTTCATTTGTTTTGATTTCATCTATTTAAAAAGTATTTTATTTTTGTTTGGAATAGTCTGGTGATGTGCCAATAGTTTAGTGATATTTCCCAGGTTTTCAATTACTTTGTTTTGGCTCTTTTTGTCTTGTCATACTCCTGTTGATCTTATTTTCCCTTGCTTGGAAAGGATCATCAAGGGAAATGACTATTGTGATATACAGACTTTGAACATTATAATTTATATGACACAGAAATGTTACAAGTTTTTGTGTTCATTTGGAAGCTTGGCTATTTGATTGATTCCTGCCTATACGACATTTTTCAGGAAAATTTTAATTGGTAATGAGAACCATTTTAATCCTGATTAGAGGCTCTCATTAACATCTTGAAAAATGTGGAATGCCTACTCATTAATTTATTCAGTGAATTTTACTGAGCATTGGTTGTATACAGAGTGCTTGGAGATGAAGGCAGAGCACAGGAAAGGCAGAAGAAGAACACAATGTCCACACAGATTGTAGAGCAGTGGTTGTCAAACTTTAATGTGCGTCAGACTCACCTGGAGGTTTTTCTCCCTTTTTTTTTGTTTGTTTGTTTCAGTAGATCTGAGAGGGGCCTGAGAATTTACATTTCTAAGAAGTTTCCAGGAATTCTGACTCTGCTGGTCGAGGAGTTCAGTAATTTGAAAACCACTAGTCTAGACTTTAGAGGAAGATATAGTCAATCAAAGAAAATGAATAATTATCTTCAATTATGATTAGTGCTATAGCAGAGAAGTCTGAACTTTATAGGGACCTGACCTAGTCTGGGGAGGCTTCAGAGCTGTATGAAACCTAAACAAGAGCATGGAAAAGAAAAGAGAGTATTTCTGCGAGAGGCAGCAAGATGGTGAAAACCTGACGTGGGAGGGAGCCTGGTGTGTCTGAAGAACTAAAGGGATATGAGTATGACTGCAGTGTGGGGCAGTGGGTAGAGACTTGCATGCAGTAGATGCAACTAATGTAGGCTAGTGCTAGAATTTGTGTGGTTTTATAATACTGAGTTAACTTGAATGTTTTATGTGTTTTCTTTTTAAATTTCTTAGAGCTTATGTTGTACAAACATTGAGGCACACCCATATAGCTGTATACAAATGCATACACAGATTCAGTGCCTGAGATTTGAGCTCAAAAAAATGTTGACCAGTGAAAAAGGGCAAGTATTCATTAAGAAAAGGCTTCTTTTAATGTTAGTATGATATTTGATAGAACTTCTCATGATCTTCCTAGGGATACAATACAATAGTGTACTAAATGATATAGCTAAGTAGATATATGGGTAATCGAAGAATTGTATGTAAAATATTTGATTTAATAAATGGATATCAACTAGGAATGTAGTTGATATTAACTAGGAGTATAGTTGGTATCATATTTGCTATAGGGATATAAATTTAGCAAAGAATTCATACATATTCTAACTCATATCAAGAGGAATATGAGTTCAGATGACTCATTTTCAACATTCCATTTAAAAATTCTTAACTTGCATAAAGACATTAGGAATAAGCAAATTTATCAAACTGTAAATCAGTAAAACTGGGAAGAATGACAGAACAATGATTGAGAAAGATGCCAGTGTGATCGAACAATAAGATTAAATTAGTCAACTCAAAATTTATTATGTAAAAGGAAGTCTCAGATGTAAAAAAGAGAAGATATTACTTGCCAAAAAGATTTCCAAGAGAATACAAGCTTTAGAAGAACTGGCTCACCAAATAAGAAGTGCAATCTATATATATTTAAAGGGAAAAAATCTCCCAAGAATCCAAATGATAGTTAGTTTTCAATTAAACTGTTCATGGTTTAAAAGCACGTCTCTCACTTATCTTTCATATCCACAAAAGCAGTCTCATATTTGCTTGCAAAAGTCAGGGGGATGCGATTGTTTTTGTTAGAGAGTCAGCAACTTATAGAAAACGCTTAAAGTTTTATTTACTTTGGTTAGTAGAACTAGACAGAGTAGCTTTTTATTTTGGTTTGTTTTATGGTTAAATGTGGTGGTTTCTCCTGTCCCAACAACCCCTACCCTGATTGTGGACTGTGATGCACATGTTGCTTTGTAATGATGGCAAAGCAAGGTATCAATTTTGCTTCTATATTTGGGAATAATTATAAAATTATGTTAGTGAATTTAAAAAGCACTTTTTAAAATTGAGGTGTGGGAAGGGGGCAGGAGTCTCTTGACTCACATGTCTGGGAAGTCAATATGGAGCAAACAACTTTATCAAGACTTTCTCTTGTTGTTCTTACTGATATTCTTGGCTCATTTGATTTCCTTCTCAGGCAGTCTCTTTCCTGTGAAAGCCACTATCATCCTCACAGCTTTTGGTTATAGGAGCACAGACTAAAATTTCTCAGAAGACTCTGGTTTGCCCTGCTTGAATCACAAGCCCATCTCAGATCACCCATTCCGTCCAGGAGCATGGGCTACTCTAGTTGGACAGCTTAGTTCACCTGCTAATCCTTGTGGCTGGGGAGGCCAGACTATGTAAATCCCAGATCCTTTCAGTGTCACACATGTCAGTTCCTTAAGAGAAAAAGATGACACCTTACCACAATAAAAAGAGTGATTCTGTGGAGGTTCACAGAATATATGCACTCTTAAACAACATAAACAGATCTGGCAAGATTGTCTTGATATACTAGGAATTACCACAGAATTCTGTACATATCTCTCTTGATACTTACATGGTGATCAGAGAATGTTTGCTAGTGTTTTGGTATCAGATCAATTTATCACAAGTACATGTAAAGATGACTAGTAGGGAAGAATGTTTTAGAAGGAGCCTTCTTGAAAGGAGACATTTGACTTGCAACTTGTTCACCTCTGAGTCTAGGAAATTGATGGAGGATTTGCTAGTATTTTGGTACCAGATTATCTAGCACTTTTCTTAATGAACTTAAATATTGC